CAACTGAAAATGCTCCACACCCAATGCCTAAAGAACCCACACCCAAGTCGAATCCAACCAAATTTCCACTGGTTCCACAGTAACAACATATTCAACACAAATAAAATCTCGAGAGAGATTAACTAAAGCACTGGTAACTAATCAAAAAATATGAAGAAATAATCGTAAGTGAAGTCAGACAAAACAATAACATTCGCAATTGCAAAACATATAATGAGGATAATAAATCCAAAAATAAGACATCAAAATCTCAGATGAACAATAATATTTCACTATGATGACGATTATGAAACCTTATCAGACAATAAACTCATCCGACTGCATCAATTCACTCAACAAAATCCACATTTACACACGAAAAATTTCTAAAATGAAACGAAGTTTATGAAAAAACGCCATATTCAGTCCAGATAATACCATATTCGTCTAGGAAGAACTGAAATGCTCCGCAGAAGAAACTCGACGATCTTGAGAATTTCAAACATATTATAAGCGCCCTCAACGCAACAATTCAGCCAGATCAACCCGCCGTTTGGCTTCCATCTTTCGTGCGCGATTCCAACATTCCTCATCCAATTCCTTCTTGCAATCGATCGCTGCCAACAGTCTACAATTCGTGAAGTTAACCAACGAAGAGCTAAATGCAACTGTCAATCCTTCACTCTCCAGTGACTAAATGAACAAAACATCAATAAGCAAATAGAAAACTAAATGAACGATTCAACAATAAATAAATCTCACTTACCTGCCCAATGTTAACAAGCGATGTAATTGGGCACTAGCATCTTCTCGACTGTGACTTTCACGCATTCTTATAAATCCTTCGCTGATCAGCTGAAAATGGAAAACATTATATTATTATCGTTATTATTACTATCACAATTATAACTATCAACACTAACATCAGCATAATAATCGCTGGCAATACGATTATATCTATCGCAATTATTATTATTACTCTTATAGAATGAATATTGCTGACAATAATAAATACCAATATCCAAACCTTATTTATTTCATCTCCAATCTGTACATCTTTCACTGCTTTTCGTGATCTCAACAAAGCATAGCGCATTTGACGCATTTGCTTATTATCATATTCTCGAAGCATTTCGGAAGTTGGATCGAGACCGTCACTGAACTGTGGTGGCAAAGCAACCACAAATGGTGCCTAAAAAGTCG